TTGCTTTTAGTAGAGACAGGGTTTTACCATGTTGGCCAGGCTGGTCTCAAACTCGTAACCTCAAGTGATCTCCCTGCCTCGGCCTCCCAAAGTGCTCGATTACAGGCATGAGCTCCACGCCCAGCCTGCTAGAGTATTTTTTTTATTTTTTCTGTTTTTGAGATGGAGTCTCAGTCTGTCACTCAGGCTGGAGTGCATTGGCACAAACTTGGCTCACTGAAACCTCTGCCTCCTGGGTTTAAGCGATTCTCCTGCTTTAGCCTTCTGAGCAGCTGGGACTACAAGTGTGCACCACCACCATGCCTGGCTAATTTTTGTATTTTTAGTAGAGACGAGCTTTCACCATGTTGGCCAGACTGGTCTCAAACTCCTGAGCTTGTGATCTGCCTGCCTCGGCCTCCCAAAGTGCTGGGATTACAGGCATAAGCCACCACGCCTGGCATGCCAACTCCAGAGTTCATATCCTTTTCCTCGTAAGTACTCTTCTGACAAATAAAAAAACAAATCAGGGCCAGGTACAGTGGCTCATGTCTATAATCCCAGTGCTTTGGGAGCCCAGAAATTTGAGACCAGCTTAGTCAACACAGCAAGACCCCTGTCTCTACAAAAACTAAAAAATTGGCCTGGTGTGGTGGCACATGCCTGTGGTCCTAGCTACTCGGGAGGCTGAGGTAGAAGGATCACTGGAGCCCGAGAGGCCCAGGCTGCAGTGGGCCAAGACCATACCGCTGCACTCCAGCCTGGGTGAGAGAACGAGACCCTGTCACAAACCACCCTCGCCGGAAAAAAAAAGCACATCTGCCAGTGCATAAAAGCAGAAAGTAGAAGAGTGGTTGCCATAAATAAATGAGAGCGTTTTTTAAATCTCGACTTGGTGCTGTTTTTGAAAGGATGATTGCAAGTGTGTTAGACCTGTGATGTCTCCAGTCAGGCAAAAGCAGTTTTCTTGTCTGGAGTGGAGCAGCATGGTGTGCGGAGGAGGGTGGGGAGCCCGCTGCTCAGCTGCAGGTTCAAGAAAGCTGCGTCGGAGCCCCTGCTCCCGGCGGCCTGCCCAGGCTGAGGCTGGGCCCACGGTCAGGGCCCTGGAGACTTAAGCTGAACTGGACCAGCGCATTCGGTTCCAACAAGAACAGCAGTTCAGCTACTTATGTACGTGGTAAAAGTCAGGACTCTGAAGGGTGCGTCCAGCCTTGTCACAGGTAAACAAGGGACACTGTGAATCTCATCTTCGTCACCTGGGTCTGGGGTTCTGAGCTGTTTCCAGAACAGAAAGCGGGGACTTCGTAACCTTCCAGGATCATAGGACTCAGGTAAAGCTCATCGCTGTCAACTTTCATTAAAAACGATAATGACTGCTATGTACTATTATGCATGTATGTGTTCGCATACCTCAGATTAGGGCACACCCTTTCCACCTATAAAGTTGCACGCCCCCATTTCTGTCTCCAGCCCTCTGCTGAAAATCAGGTCCGGTGTTCCGTAGCCTGGTTGCACAGCACCGTCCATGGCCAGAGCAGGGTTTCCTGCCGGCAGGCTGGAAATGCAGAGCCCCAGTCCCCAGCCAGCCCTGTGGCCCCAGGACACGACATCCCCTGCGAGACCTGCCCTCCCCTCAGGGCGAGGGTCGCTGCACTGGAATTTCCTGCAGTGAGATTTGGGCGGCCCTCCCCACTCCCGGTTGCCGGTCTCCTGTAACAGGGCAGTGTGTGCAGTCACTTGACTGGCTTTGGGCTCCAGGACAGCCTGGGGCCCTGCGGGGTTTGGCACTTGCCGTGGCTCCACGAAGATGCCCAGGTCGCTGTTGACTGTGCTGGTGGGTTCTGCTGCTGCCATCTTTGTCATTCAGTACTAACACCCATTTCTCAGGTCCTCCTGGCCTTGCTGATGCTAGAAGTTCTTTCCATCTTGATGGACGCCCCAGAACTAAAGGACTCCTGAAGCCCTTCTAACTTCCAAAGGGCAGCAGCTTCTAGAGAAACGCAAGGGTCGGGCACCTTTACTGTGGCTCACACCTGTAATCCCAGAAATTTGGGAGGCCAAGGCAGGCGGATCACCTGAGATCAGGAGTTTGAGACCAGCCTAACCAACATGGAGAAACTCCGTCTCTGCTAAAAATACAAAATGAGCCGGCATGGTGGTGCGCACCTGTAATCCCAGCTACTCAGGAGGCTGAAGCAGGAGAATCGCTTGAACCCGGGAGGCGGAGGCTGTGGTGAGCCGAGATTGCCCTACTGCACTCCAGCCTGAGCAACAAGAGCAAAACTCTGTCTCAAAAGCAACAAGACAGCTGAATTCCTGAAGGGAGGAGGAGCATCGTGGGTGCAGAAGCCCGAGGCCCCTCAGACTGAAGGGGGCCTCCTGCAGAGGAGCTGGGTCCCCCGGGGTGATGATTCTGAGTTCCCAGACTGCAGGGTGAGCTGACCCAGAGCTCCAGAGCCACAAAGCCCTCTGGGGAAGCGCTGTCCTGGGCCAGCTGTGGTTGCCATCACACTCAGGCTCAGGTGGGTGTGCCCCTGCCTTTGTTTTTTTTTTTTTTGAAACAGTTTCACTCTTGTTACCCAGGCTGGAGTGCAATGGTGCGATCTCGGCTCACCGCAACCTCCGCCTCCTGGGTTCAGGCAATTCTCCTGCCTCAGCCTCCTGAGTAGCTGGGGTTACAGGCACGTACCACCATGCCCAGCTAATTTTTTGTATTTTTAGTAGAGACGGAGTTTCACCATGTTGACCAGGATGGTAGCGATCTCTTGACGACCTCGTGATCCACCCGCCTCGGCCTCCCAAAGTGCTGGGATTACAGACTTGAGCCACCGCGCCCGGCCAGCCCCTGCCTTTTACATCACGGCTGACCCTGCTGGTGGCTTCGCAGAAAGGGAGTTTGCGTGAGGGTGCTTGGTGAATGGCGGCACCTGCGGACACGGTCCCAGGTGGGGGCTGTTTAGGTGGGGGCGTGTACAGGCCTGGGCTGGAGCAGAAGGCCTTTCCCGCTGCCTCCATCTGTCTGCCCACCCTCCACAGAGCCTGGGGCGCTAGCCTCTCCGTATCTGTCCTCTCCACTCTTCCTGGAGGGCGCCATTCTTATCTGACTTGCTCCCACGGTCTCCCTACATCTGGCCCAAATATACACTTGGTGGCGGTCCCACCATCACACTCAGGCTCCGGAGCCCACGGCCCCTGGTCTTGCCTCCTGCCACGCTGCTTTCCACGGCAGTGGTGGGGAAGGGAGGTTAGAACCCCATGTCCGTGGGCAGAGGGCAGGAATTAGGGAAAAGGGGGCCCGTGAGACTCCCAGGCCTAGGGTTGGAACGGAAGCTGGTGGTGTGGGGCCGTTTGGGGGCAGGACCCCAGGTGCTGGGACGTGGGGAGCAGGACTGTGGGGTGTGCTCCAGAAAGTGGGGAGGACTGTGTCCGTTGCTCCAGAAAGGACAAGAGACACAATGTAGGAAACGGGGTTCAGTCAGAACTGGAGAGGGGTTCAGGCAGTCACTGAGTAGGCAGAGAGGCGCCCAGACGGGGGTTCGAAGACCCTGGGGGTTGTCAGTCCTGGGTTGTGAGGTGCCTGCCTGCCGAGGGGCAGGAGGCTGTGGCCCTGCCTCCAGGTTTCAGGGGAAACACCCCAGCGAGGTCAGAGCGCAGAGCGGGGGCCGTGCGACCTTTCAGAGGGACGCCGGGTGTCACCGAAGGCCAGTGCTGCGCAGCGGGGAGTACAGGAACGGGAGGGAGCAGGTCTGGGCACGGAGCCCCACAGTCTCGCAGGGGCGCGGGGCGAGGGTGAAAGGCAGAGGCGGGAGTCCCCCTTAGGGGCGGTCAGCTCCACACGCGGCTTTCCCGGCTGCTGGGCCGCCCTCGTTGACACGCTCCAGAAACACCGATGGGAAGGTCCCAAGTGAGCTCCCAAAGGCCCTGGCGGACGCGCGGGGACGCGGGGCCGGTAACCCTGCCCCGCCCGGCACGGCCAGCGCTGCTTCCCGCAGGGTCCGGAGCGGCGCCTCCTCCTGGGCCTGAACCCCCGGCGGCGGGCGGGGAGACCCCCTGTCGCACCCCCACCCCGCTCCAGACCGTCGGGGGACCGAGGGCGAGGACGCCCCAAAACGTCACCTCTGAAGTCTCCCTTAGCCACGTCGCCAGGGCTAAATTCAAAACCCGCAGTTTTGGCAAATTTCCGAGGCCCTCCGGGCAGGAGAAGCAGCTGGAATCCCAGGACGCTGTCAGGGGATGCGGACCGAGAAGAAGCCGGTCAGAACCGGAGCCGCCCAGCTTCTCCCGGGAAGCCCAGGCCGGCGGGCGCCCCCTGTCTCCCGGGCCTGGCTCTCCGGTGGGGGCGCCCCGGCCCCGCGTGGGGCTTCAGGCCCTGGGCCCTGGCTTGGGGGGCGGGCGGGCGTCCCCGAGCGGGAGCGGGGACCGCGGGCTTCTCATCTGCGTGGGGGGCTCGGCCTTGATCTTGTAGCGGAGAACCCTAAAAACAGGGGTCAGATGTGAGTCGGGTCCGCCAGGCACTGAGGTTTGAAGGAATCGCAGAAGAATCCGCAGCGGCGGGTCTCCGGCAACCCGGGTCCAGGCCGCGGGGGGCCTGCGGGGGTCGCCCCCGATTCTGCCCGGGACGCCGCGGCCTACGAAGCCCCAGGAGCAGGCCCGCCCCGCCCCAGCGCCGCCCCCTGGTCCTCCCCCATCCCCGTCTGCCCCTCCCCCCATCCTCCCCTCTACAAGTCCTCCCCGCTCCCCGCCCCCAGCACCGCCCTCCGGTCCTCCCCCACCCCATCCCCGCCTGCCCCTCCTCCCTCCCCCCGCCCGGGTCCTGCCCCCCGCCTCTCCCCCCTCCCGGGGTCCTCCCCTCAAGCCTCTCCCCCCCCCCGGCCTCCTCGCCTCTCCCCCCTCCAGGGGTCCTCTCTCCCCCCACCGCCCGCCTCTCTCTCCGCCCCGAGTCCTCCCCCAGCCCCTCCCCGCGCCCAGGTCCTCCCCTCCCACCGCCTCTCCCCCCGCCCCGCCTCCGCCCCGCCCCCCGCGCCCGCGGCCCCGCCGGAAGGACTCCAGCGCCCGGGAGCCGGGAGGCGAACTCGGGACCCGCCTGCCCCGCTCGGTGCGCGCCTCCTCCCGGCATGGAGCCCGCCGAGCGCTCGCGGGTCCCCAGGTGGGTGGCGCGGGGTGCGGGCGTCCCCGGCGGCTGCGGTCCCCACGTGGGCCCCCCACCCCCTGGAGGAAACTTCGGGGACGCCGGCCCCCTTCTCTCGGTGTTGCAGGATCGACCCGTACGGATTCGAGAGGCCCGAGGACTTCGACGCCGCCGCCTACGAGGAGTTCGTGTCCGGCTACCTGGTGACGCTCGCGCGCAGGGCCGCCAAGTGGTCCCGGCTGCTGCGGGGCGGGGGCGTCCCGCGGGGCCGCGCAGGTGCGGGGGGCAGAGCCGGGCTGGCGGGCGCAGGGGCGGGACGGACCTGCTCCCCGCTTCGAGTGCGGCCGGAGACCGCCTGCCCGGCTGCGGCGGGATCCCGGTGGATCCAAACGCGATTCCACCCGGCGACCAGACCCGCCTCGCTTCCTAAGAAGAAGCCAAAGTCCCCGTGACGGGACCCGAAGGGTCCTGCGTGGCCTGCCCCCCACCCCACTCCCCCGAGACCCGGGCCTCCTGCCCGGTGAGCACCCGGCCTGGCCCCCGGCCGCCTCCTCCCGGGCCCCCCAGGCTTCCCGGTGCGGAGGACTTGCCCAGCGCAGCCCCTGCGAGATCAGAAACCCTCCCTCCCTCCTTCCCTCCCTCCCTCCCTCCCTCCTTCCCTCCTTTCCTCCCTCCCTCCCTCCCTCCCTCCCTGCGCGGGGGTTTCATCCAGGGCTCAGTCCTCAGAACCTGGGGCACTGCTTGGCGACTCCCCTGTGCCTTCAGTGAATGAATGGAGTGTCTGCCTGGGGTGAGGGCTTGGTGGGACTGTGCCCTGGGGTTTGGAATGCAGAGAAGTGAGGTCAAAGGGGAGACCTGGGGGCTTCCTGAGAAGGGGGATGTGAATGGCAGCTGAGCTTGGAGAAAGGGAGCTGGGGGGGAAGGGCAGGACAGGAAGCAGGGACCCTGCCCCTGGGCGGAGGGCTGGAGGTGTGTGGTGACCACAGCCAGGCGCAAAGAAGCCAACTGTTAAAGGCTTTCCAGGCAATGTGTGGCAAGATCAATTTTTGCTTTTATTTGTTTATTTGAGACGGGGTAACCCTCTGAGTGCCCTGGGCAGTCACCACTCATGTAGCCTTGGCCTCCTGGGCTCCAGCCACCCTCCCGGCTCAGCCTGCCGTGTAGCTGGATCACCAGCACCACCATCACGCCCGGCTAATTTTGAAATTTTTTATAGAGATGGGGTCTTGTTATGTTACCCAGGCTGTTCTCTAACCCCTAGGCTCAAGAGGTCCTTCCACCTCTGCCTCCCAAAGTGCTGGGATTATAGGCGTGAGCCACCCAGCCAGCCAAGGTCAGCTTCTAAAGCGGTCGATGGGTGGGGCCCTGGTGCTGGGATATGGCCTGCGAGCCCGGCTGAGGTGCTACCTGGAGTGAGGCTGAAGGGACCTTGCTGCCTGGTGGAATGTCGGACTTAGGTGGTGAGGGTCCAGCTACACCGCATTAGACAGCCTCCCTCCCTAAGGCTGTCACTGATGGGAGTGTGGGCGAAGCTCCACTGGGCTTTCCTGAGCACTGGTAAAGGCAGCATTTCATAAAATCACACCCTCAAAGCTTGGTCTGTTTTTGCCTTCCACATCTCTGAAGCTCATACCTTGTAAGCATCCCACAGATGCGTCACGTCCCATCCTTGGGTTGTCTCTGTATGTTCACATGTTTCCATTGGAATGTGTGTCTCTATTTTTCCTTTAAATTTTTTTTTTTTTTTGAGACAGTCTCACTCTGTCGCCGAGGCTGGAGTGCATTGGTGCGATCTCAGCTCACGGCAACCTCCACCTCCCCGGTTCAAATGATCCTCTTGCCTCAGCCTCCTGAGTAGCTGGGATTACAGGCACGCACCACCAAGCCCGGCTAATTTTTTGTATTTTTAGTAGAGGCGTGTTTCACCACATTGGTCAGCCTAGTCTCGAACTCCTGACCTCGTGATCTGCCCACCTTGGCCTCCCAAAGTGCTGGGATTTCAGGTGTGAGCCACCACGCCCGCCCCCTTTCCAATTATTTTAAACCTAATTCAAGTTTTGTTTTTGTTTTTTCTTTTTCTTTTTTTTGAGCTCTTCCTAAAAATTTCACTTTATTATTGAAGTAACAACTACCTCCTTTTTGCTTTAATTTTTTAAATTTAATTTTGTTTGTCTGTTTGGTTGTTTGTTTTTTGAGACAAAGTCTAGCTCTGTCAGCTAGGCTGGAGGCAATGACCTCCAGCTGGGATTACAGGCGTGCGCCACCACAGCTGTCTAATTTTTTTGTATTTTTGGTAGAGGCAGGGTTTCACCATGTTGACAGGCAGGCTGTTCTCCTGAGCTCTAGTGATCCGCCCACCTCAGCCTCCCAAAGTGCTGGGGTTACAGGCGGGAGCCACCGCATCCGGGCTGATTTATGCAACGTTAATTCTCCTGTGTAATTATGGTAGCAGCATCACTGGCATAAATGGGTCTGGAAGCAAATACATCTCTTTGATGCCATGTGAGCCTCAGCCTGAAGAGTGGGAGCCACAGGGCTGTGGGCCTGTTCTGCAGGGAGCAGGGTCGCTGGTGACTCCGGTGGGAGGCACGTGTAGTCTTTGATCCTGTGTGTCCCTTCTGGCGTGGGGCCTGGGTCCCGGTGTGACCATCAGGGAGCCCATGAGCACTGGCAGAGCCCTAAGAGCAGAGAGTCAGACATAAAATAGGAGTGGGCGGGTTATTCCAGAAACGGGGATAACTTCTTCCTGCCAGGCATTCCAGGCTCACTGGCAGAGTTCTTTTTTCTGTTTTTGGAGGATTTTCATCTGTACCTCCCATGTTAAAGTCACCAGTAACACAGTCATCTACCAATCTCAGCATTCCACGTCTTAAGGGACAGTTATTATGTATTGTGCCTGTTGGCGCTCTTGGCAAGTACAATAAATACTGTATTTTTCTTTTTCCTTAGCAAGTATCCACCGGGAGCCTTTAGGAAGACAGCTTGCTCTTCCTCCCTATAAAGACGAAATTCAACAAACTTAGTCCTGTCGCATTCCTATTTCATTCTCCATCTTGAGAAGGGATGGCTGCAGGGACGCAGTTTCAGGGCTGTTGGCTTCTTCATGACCTCCTTCCTGGTGAATGTTAACACCACCAAAGTTAAAATGCAGTTGAAAAAACATTTTTAAAGATACACCAAAAAAAAAATAAAAATAAAAAAAAAAAAAAGATACACCAAAAAACTGGGGATTTGCCTAACTTTGTCAGGATAGATGTATGTCAGTTGTCTGGATTTAGCTTTTTTTTTTTTAAGATGGGGTTTCACCCTGATGGCTAGGCTGGTCTTGAACTCCTGACCTCAGGGGATCTACCCACCTCAGCCTCGCAAAGTGCTAGGATTACAAAGTACCACGCCAGGCCTGGATTTAGCTTTTTTAAAAAAATTCCCCAACTGTTTTGACTTAATATTTGTATGTCTCCAAACCTTGGTGATGCTCTGTGGTTAGCCCTACCCTTGGGAAAGTGTCAGTCTGTGAGGACAAGTAAACCATTTTCATTCTTCTTCTTTCTTTTTTTTTAAACTGAGACGGGGTCTTGCTATGTTGCCCAGGCTGGAGTGCAGTGGCTATTCACAGGCGCGATCCCACTACTAATCAGCATAGCAGTTTTGACCTCCGTTTCCGACCTGGGCTGGTTCACCCCTCCTTAGGCAACCTGGTGGGCCCCCGATCCCGAGAGGTCACCATATTGATGTCGAACTTAGTGTGGACACCTGATCGGCATAGCGCACTACAGCCTAGAACTCCTGGGCTCAAGCGATCCTCCAGCCGCAGCCTCCCAAGTAGCTGGGACTACAGGTACGCCCACCGCGCCTGGGGGCACCATTTTCATTCTTCTATAAAGAAACAGTATAGGCCGGGTGCGGTGGCTCACCCCTGTAATCCCAGCACTTTGGGAGGCTGAGGCAGGCGGATCATGTGTTCAAGAGATCGAGACCATCCTGGCCAACATGGTGAAACCTGGTCTCTACTAAAAATACAAAAATTAGCTGGGCGTGGTGGCACGTGCCTGTAATCCCAGCTACTCGAGAGGCTGAGGCAGGAGAATCGCTTGAACCCAGTAGGTGGAGGTTGTAGTGAGCTGAGATTGCGCCACTGCACTCCAGCCTGGCAACAGAGTAAGACTGTCTCAAAACAAAACAAAAACAAAAAAGTGTAAATTCAGATAACAAACTTATCAAAAACTCGCAGAATTCTTTGTTCTGTAAAGCTTCCGGGTGTTGCTCCAACTGCCAGAGCTGCTTGGGGGACCTTGGGCACAGGCTCGGTCCCTTCTGTCCACTTTAAAGATGAGGAAACCGAGCCATGCTCAGGCTCTGGAGCCTGCAAGTCATAGCAGAGCAGAGTGTCTGGCTCCAAAGGGGGTGCGTTCAGTCATTTTGACCTTTCCCTTAAATACAACCCTGATACTATTATTATTGAGACAGGGCCTTGCTCTGTCACCCAGGCTGGAGGACAGTGGCATGATCATAGCTCACTGCAGCCTAAACCTCCCGCCTTGGCCTCCAGAGTAGCTGAGACTACAGGTGTGCACCACCATGCCCAGCTAATTTTTAAGACTTCTTGTAGAGATGAGTCTACTGGGATTACAGGCATGAGCCACTGCACCTGGCCTGTCAAAGTACTTTACAATTTACAGTAAAATTCACTGTTATCAGTGTATGGTTCTATGAATTTGGACACACGCAGCTAGGCAGTCATCACCACAATCAGGACTCTCACCTTCAACAATCCTGTCCTTTGAAGTCAGCCCACTGCCCACATCACCAGCCTCTTTCCCATTCCTGTAGTTCAGCCATTTCCGTGATGTCTTCAGGGGGATCATACAGATTTGAGTCTGGTTTCTTTCACTGAATGCACTGGAGATCCATCCGGGACCTCGTATGTGTCAATAGTTCACTCCTCACTCCTTTTTATTGCTGAGGTATTTGATTTTGTGGATGTACTACAATTTTTAAAAATCTGTTCATCAGCTGAAAACATTTGGGATGTGTAAAGGCAACATTATAAACATTCACATACAGGTTTTTGTGGGAACTTAGTTTTCATTTATCTTGACTAAACACTTTGCATGGGACTGCTGGGTCATATGATAAGTGTATGTTTAGTAAGAGATTACAAACTGTCTTTCCAATGTGGCTGTAAAATTTTGCCTTCCCACCACAAATATATGAGTGTTCTAATTGCTCCACATTCTTGCCAGCTCTTCTTGTTGTTGGTGTTTTTTTATTTTCATCATTCTTTTGTAGGCAGACTATTCTGTCTGCACTAAATTTTCTTTGCACCTTTATCAAAAAGCAGTTGATTCTGTTTGTATGGGTCTCTTTCTGGATTTTTTATTATATCCCATTATTCCATTTGTCTAACTTTTCTCCAGTACCACATTGTCTGTCTTACTGTAGGTTTATAGTAAAGCATAAAATCTAGTAATATGTCTCCTCCAACTTCATTTTCAAAATCGTTTTGATTCTTTTCACTTTGCACAGAAGGTTCAGAATTAGCTTGTCATTGTCTACAATGTCTCCTTTTTCCCTGGAACAATGATAGGAGGTATATATAAGAATCTATAGATCAACTTTGGAAAAATTGACATCTTCAGATTGAGCCTTCCAATCCATGAACATGGTATATCTATTAATTTATTTCATTCTTCTTTGATTTCTTTTTTTTTTTTTGAGACAGAGTTTTGCTCTTGTTGCCCAGGCTGGAGTGCAATGGCACAATCTTGGCTCACCACAGCCTCTGCCTTCTGGGTGCAAGCATTCCTCCTGCCTCAGCCTCCCAAGTAGCTGGGATTACAGGCATGCATTACCACGCCCAGCTAATTTTTGTATTTTTAGTAGAGATGGGGTTTTTCCATATTGGTCAGGCTGGTCTTGGACTGCTGACCTCAGGTGATTTTTCCCACCTCCCAAAGTGATGGGATTATAGGTGTGAGCCACCACACCTGGCTTCTTTGATATCTTTTGTGGCATTAGCATTTGGCTCCTGCAAATATTTTGTTAGAATTTTTTCTTTCTTTCTTTCTTTTTTCTTTTTCCTGTGTCTCACTCTGTCCCCCAGGCTGGAGTGCATAGTGTGATCTCAGCTCATTGCAGCCTCTGCCTCCTGGGTTCAAAAGATTCTCCTGCCCTAGCCTTCTGAGTAGCTAGGATTACAAGTGTGCACCTACATGCCCAGCTAATTTTTGTATTTATTTATTTTTTTGATGGAGTCTCACTCTGTCACCAGGCTGGAGTACAATGGCACTATCTCGGCTCACTGCAACCTCTACCTCCTGGCTTCAAGCGATTCTCCTGCCTCAGCTTCCCGAGTAGCTGGGATTACAGCCACCTGCCACCATGCCCAGCTAATTTTTGTATATTTTTAGTAGAGATGGGGTTTTGCCATGTTGGCAAGATTGTTCTTGAATTCCTGACCTCGGGTGATCCACCCATCATGGCCTCCCAAAGGGCCAGGACTACAGGCATGAACCACCATGCCAGGCCCCAATTTTAAATATATGATTTCCAGGTACTCATCATTGGTTTGTAGAAGTACCACTGGTTTTTGCATGGCCTTTCCTTTCAGCCTCTGCCCCTCTCAGTTAGAACAGTCCCTGCCTGTGTTGGCACTGACCCTCCCCATTGTCGTTTAGCACAGAATGACTAAGAACTTAGAGCATTTCTGGTCAAGTTGCCCTCTAAGGGATCACGAGACCTATAGCCAGACTTTGGTATGCATCGTACTAACGTGGAGAAAAAGTCAGGCTGAATTATTGTTGTCTTTAGTAGAATTTTAAAAATAAAGCAGCCGGGCGCGGTGGCTCAAGCCTGTAATCCCAGCACTTTGGGAGGCCGAGGCGGGTGGATCACGAGGTCAAGAGATCGAGACCATCCTGGTCAACACGGTGAAACCCTGTCTCTACTAAAAATACAAAACATTAGCTGGGCATGGTGGCGCGTGCCTGTAATCTCAGCTACTCAGGAGGCTGAGGCAGGAGAATTGCCTGAACCCAGGAGACGGAGGTTGCGGTGAGCCAAGATCGCGCCATTGCACTCCAGCCTGGGTAACAAGAGCGAAACTCCGTCTCAAAAAAAAAAAAAAAAAAAAAAAAAAAGTTAAAAATAAAGCAAAGCATGTTTTTCATGTTCCTGTAAACAGTGTGAATAAGCCAGGTGTTCTCAGGTGTTCTTGCCTAAGATATGATCCTCAAATTTGCTTCTAAACCAGCAAAGAGGGTTTCTTCAGACGGATTCTTTGGCTTTCAGTGGATGGCATTAGTGTCTGCCCTCTCTCTCCTCTGGGCCTTCCTCGTTACCCTTCATCACGTATTTAGTGAGCGTTTACCGCCTCCCAGGCTCCCGTCCAGGAGTGGGAGGCCCAGTGGACAGAAAAGGGTCTGTCCTTCCAGACCCTGCATTTTAAGATGCTTGTGTCCAGATGATCATGAATTGTGGATCACCTTGGAATTCGAGCTCATAAAGTTTTACCCGGTAGTGCTTTTCTTGACTGTAGCCTATAAAGTTAGTATAAGTTTTTTATCTGCTAAATACAGCTGGTGCCTCGGATTTTTTTCTTTTTATGGCAGCTTATGGAATTCCACAAATTGCATATGCTTTTTTTTTTTTTTTTCCTGAAGTATGGTTTATTTTAAAAGAATAGCTTCTTTTAAAATATGTGCAGGGCTGGGTACAGTGGCTTCTGCCTCAGGATTATATGCCTGTAATTCCAGCACTTTGGAAGGCTGAGGCGGGCAGATCATGAGGTCAAGAGTTTGAGACCAGCCTGGCTGATATGGTGAAACCCCATCTCTACTAAGAATACAAAAATTAGCCGGGTGTAGTGGTGCATGCCTATAATCCCAGCTACTCAGGCTGAGCAGGAGAATCGCCTGAACTCACTGCACTCCAGCCTGGGCGACAGAGCCAGACTCCATCTCGAAATAAAATAAAATAAAAATAGCGCAGTGCAGCATCAAAGGAAAACAGCAAAACTTTAAATATTTGCTTTGAAAATTAGCTGTGTTGTAGGTTAAGAGCACAGTTTTACACCTTTGGACTTACTGTAATTAATTTGGGTTTGTCATGCATAGCTTTTCCATCCGCCTAAGAAATTACTTCCGATTACTGGAGATGGTGGCTGGCTTTTGGCGCCTGTTCCTATGTGTTTCTGCGGCCATTAGAAAATTACTAATTACTTTTTCACATATTTATTGTCAATTACAATACCCCTACAAAATGCAGTAGCCTTCAGTATGTACATCTTAACTGCACAGAGAGGACGGAGGTGTCTGCCACCGAAGCCGTAGGCTCCCCCGAGGGCCCCACTGAGGTGGTCACTGCCGAACCCCACCGGCCTCTGTTCTCAGCTTGGCCTCCCACTGTTTTGCTTGTTTGCTGCTCCTCTGCACAGCTCCCAGGGAACTTTCCAGAGCACCCATCTGACCGGGGTCTGGGGTGTGCCGACCACCTGGCATTGGATGGTGAAGGGGGTGTGGGGTGGTTCTGTAGCTGGTCTGATTTGTGCTCTGTTGGGAGGGAGAGCAGAATTTTTAAAGGAGTGTATGTGCCAGTGTTGGTGGAGATGAAGTTCTGGGTCTTTTTAATACTTGATTTCAGAAGAGAAGTGGCGAGAGCGGAAGGTGTCGGGTGCGTGGGCTCTGCAGGCCTCTGGTCCAACTTAGGCACCCTCTGTTCTCTCGGGTTTTAGTGAAGCGCTACGTCCGCAAAGGGGTCCCGCTGGAGCACCGTGCCCGCGTCTGGATGGCGCTGAGTGGGGCCCAGGCTCAGATGGACCAGAATCCCGGCTACTACCACCGGCTTCTCCAGGGAGAGAGAAACCCCAGGCTGGAGGACGCCATCCGGACAGGTGAGATGTGGCGGTGGGGCTCTGGCACGGGGGCCGGGGCCGGGAGGAAGCGGTTTCTGCCGTGTCTGGTCTTAGTGTCCAGGAGTGAGCCGTGCACCTGCTGCTTTTCACTGGTGATGTCTTCAAATCCACGAAAGAATCAAAACAGGCCTTTGCAAGGGGAGAACAGTGATCTTAATTCACTCAGCAAATACGTGCCTCGCTGGCTGGTAAAGAGATGGCCACGAAGGAGCAGATGTCCCCCGTGAAGACTCGCAGGACAGTGGGAGCAGCCTCTGTCGCCGTGTGGGTTCGCGCCGGTGCTGGTCGCGTGGCCTTGCAGACGTGTCCGCTTTTGTGTCTAAGTAATTGCTGGACCGCCTTCTCCTCTGATTTTCTTAGTAATCACATAGCCATAGGGTCGCCGGCGCTGAGAAGCTCAAAGTGCTAACAAAATTGGTGAACCTAAATTCAGTAATTTAGAAAGTACACCTGCCCTTCTGATTTTAACAGTTTATGAGAAATACACATTTAAACACAATATACTTAATTTTTTTCTTTCTTTATTCTTTTATGCTCAGTGTATAATAGAATTTTTTTTCTTTTTCTTAATATACTTAATTTTTTAAAACGCAGTGGCTTTGAAGTGCTGAGAGGTTAGAAGGACTTGGGATGGTGAGGATAGGATGCAGCCTGTCTTTCTGCCCTTCCTGGGGGTCTCCCGTCACCGGGTAGAGCCAGCAGGGAGGGGCTCCCCAGGCTGGGGCTGGGGCCACCAGGGAAGAGGCTGCTTCCTGACCACAGAGTGATCTCTGCCAAAGGCCCCCAAACATGCACAGCCTGGTGGCCGGAAACGTTGATGCAGGTTGGAAAGAGGAGAGCTTGGGTGCAGTGGGGAAGGGGGTGCATATTAAAACAGCACTGCTTCTGAAAAATGAATTTAAAGGCTCAGTTTTATGGATTTTTTTATTTTATTTATTTTTTTTTTTTTGAGATGGAGTTTCGTTCTTGTTGCCCAGGCTGGAGTGCAATGGCGTGATCTCAGCTCACCACAACCTCCGCCTCTCAGGTTTAAGCGATTCTCCTGCCTCAGCTTCCCGAGTAGCTGGGATTACAGGTGCACACAACAATGCCCCGCTAATTTTTTGTATTTTTAGTAGAGATGGGGTTCACCATGTTGGCCAGGATGGTCTCGAACTCCTGACTTCAGGTGATCTACCCACCTCAGCCTCCCAAAGTGCTGGGATTACAGGCGTGAGCCGCCACACCTGGCCTTTTTTTTTTTTTTTTAAAAGACAGGTCTCAGTCTGTTACCCAGACTGGAGCGCAGTGGTGCTATCACAGTGACGGCTCACTGCAGCCTCAACCTCCCAGGCTCAAGTGATCCTCCTGACCCAGCCTCCCCAGTAGCTGGGAGTGGTTGGGACCACAGGTGTGCACTACCACACCTGGCTTTTTATTTTTATTTTTCAGACAGAGTCTTGCTGTGTCGCCTACTCTGGAGTGCAGTGACTCAGTCTCGGCTCACTGCAACCTCTACCTCCCAGGTTCAAGCGATTCTCCTGCCTCAGTCTCCCTAGTAGCTGGGATTACAGGCACACACCGCCAGGACCAGCTAACTTTTTGTATTTTTAGTAGAGATGGGGTTTCACCATGTTAGCCAGGATGGTCTTGATCTCCTGACCTCATGATCCACCTGCCTCGGCCTCCCAAAGTGCTGGATTACAGGTGTGAGCCACTGTGCCTGGCCTGGCTCATTTTTTTAATTTTTATTTTTTGTAGAGATGGGATTTTGGTCTTGAACTCCTGGGCTCTGGGGATTCTCCCTCCTTCACCTCCCAAAGTGCTGGGGTTACAGGAGTGAGCCATCACCTGGCTGAGTCTTTTTTTTTTTTTTTTTTTTGTTATGGCAAAATAGACATCATATAAAATTTACCATTTCATTTTTCCCAAGCTGAGCCACAGCCCCCGGGACCTCGCCCAGCCCTGGCAGCCCACTGTGCACTTGTCTCCATGTTTTGGCAACTCTAGGGTCACATAAGAGGAGCCCTGCGGCTGCGTCCTGTGCAGCCAGGTCTTTCCCCTCACCTCGTTCCTCAGGGGTCCTCCGTGCCGCATCTCGCATGAGAACTTTGTCCTTCTTTAAGGGTGAATAACAGTCCACGCATGGGCAGACCGAGGTTTGTTCACTTATCCGTTGGTCAGTGGACACCAGGGCTCTCCTGCCATGCGGCTGTGAGCGTGGGTATGTGGATTCTGCTGGGGTTCCTGCTTCCAGCTGTGGGCTCATACCCAGAGCGTGGGGCTGCTGGATCCGTGACAGTTCTGTGCTTAGTCATTGGAGGCACCGGGTCAGTCCTCTTTCAGGAGCCGTGCAGTGATGTCCAGGCACGGAGAGCCCGCGTCGGGCTGCCTGCGCCCAGACAGAAAGTTCCCATGCTTGTCCATCTCCAGCAGAGATGGACCTTCTCCTTTCCCACAGGGTGTCATCAAAACGTATCAAAAAGCTGAGTGTGGTGGCTCACGCCTGTAATCTCAGCACTTCGGGAAGCTGAGGCAGGCGGATCAGTTGAGCTCAGGAGTTCAAGACCAGCCTGGCCAACATGGCAAAACTCCATCTCTACAAATCAATACGTAAATTAGTCGAGGTGTGGTGGTGTGCACCTGTAGTCTCAGCTACTCAGGAGGCTAAGGTGGGAGAATCACTTGCGCCCTGGAGGTTGAGGATTCAGTGAGTCGTGATTGCACCACTGCACTCCAGCCTGGGTGACAGTGAGACCCTGTCTCAAAAATATGTATATATGGAAAAACTCAATATTACATAGAAATGAATACAGCTGGTCATCTAGTCTGAAATAGCAAAAATACTAACTTCCCCTTGACTGATTCCATTTTTTGGAATGTTTAGAATTCCAGGGGGGAAAACACAGCTCTTTTGTAAGAAAACACAATGAGAAATAATGTGCTCTGAGCCACTGAACTAATGTTCTGCCCAAATCTAGTGTTTTGTAAGCAAAGACGCGGCCTGGGCCCAGAGGTCGGAAACAGACTCACGGTATTTTCCAGCAGTTACAGAGAGACCGTAGGAGGTTGGGTTCCTCCAGAGCGGGGTGCGCCCCCATCCATCTCACTGTCACGGCCGGCCTGCTGTGAGTCCGTCTTGGAACCTGTGCAGAAAGCGCCTGTCCGCTGGTGGCCGCCCGAGGTGCCCAGCGAACACCTCTAACAGAGGTGGGGCCAGTGGGAGCAGAAACCAGCGGAGGTGTCAGGCCGGCGTTACCCTTCCTGCCCGGCCTGCGTCCAGGGTTAACGTGGAGGCCAGCTTCCGTGAGGCCTGGTGCTGGGTCAGCATGGGGCTTGGTTGGGGTCCCCCGGCACAGGACGGCTTGGCCAGCGCCACTGTCCTGCCAAGAGCTGCCCGGGCAGGATGGCGGGAGGGTGGATGCCGAGGAAGGACGAGGCTGCAGGGACGCCTCCCGCACACTCAAGTGGCCGCGCCAGGTTTCTTCAGTTCTCAGTGCTCAGCCGTGTCCTTTATCTGAGGAGTCTTGGCTCATTCTGTCTCCTTCCGTTTTGGATCTTCAGAACTAAGAAAACACCCCAAAGTTCTGTGTGCATTTCTCTCCACCTGTCACCCCAGGTCCTCGAGGCAGAGCCGCCTCTGCTAGGCGTGAGGTCCGAGGTGCAGGAGGCCTGGGCTGGGGGCCGGGAGGAGGCGGGCATCGAGGAGGGGGCGCCACGGCCCGGCTGGCAGCCCTGGGGTTGCTCTGCTGTCCCTGAGTCTGCGGAAAGGACGGTTGGGGTCCCCTCCGCCCCGAGTCCAGGGATCACCCCCTCCTTCCTGGCCCTGGTGAGCTCGTCGCCCTGGCTGTGTTAAGTCTGCTGTGCAGCCAGGGTGAAAACCCGTCCATAAGTCCCAGGTGGAACCCAGGCGGCCACCCTCGGGGCAGCTGGAGGGGCGGGAGGCTTGCAGAGCAGAAACCTGTGGGTGATCCCCCCTGAATTCCTGCAGACCTGAACCGGACATTCCCCGACAACGTGAAGTTCCAGAAGACCACGGAGCCCTGCTTACAGAAGACCCTGTACAATGTGCTGCTGGCATACGGGCACCATAACCAGGCCGTGGGCTACTGCCAGGTGAGCCTTGGGACCCTCCGACACAAGCCTGAGGCTGTCGTCCACAGCTGCAGGTTCTGCAGCGAGGGCCGCACGTCTCTGTCGGCCCGTTCATGAATTCCACGTCCTGATCCTCACGCGGCTCAGACGCTGTTTCTCAGCAGGGAGGACAGGGAGCAACAGCTGACCACCTCTGTTCTGCCTCGGGTGGCAGGAGGAGAAGCAGGCGCATGCTGTGGTGCACGTGTGTGCTGTTGTGGGGTGCGTGTGCTGTTGTGGGGTGCGTGTGCTGTGGAATGTGTGTGCTGTTGTGGGGTGTGTGCTGTGGAGTGTGTGTGCTGTTGTGGGGTGTGTGTGCTGTGGAGTGTGTGTGCTGTTGTGGGGTGTGTGTGCTGTGGAATGTGTGTGCTCTT